ATTCTTAGTCTTTTACCCAACAATAAATTGATTGATGGAAAAAGATGGAATAAAGATTTATCTATTTACACTAGCTGTCAAATGGGAAAAAGTTGTTAGTTATCCTTTCAAGTGTCAATAAAAGAGAAATTGAGCCATTAACAAAAGTGTATAGTGATTTATTGGGGCCTGCCCTATTGCATCTTCTCAAGGAATAAAATATTATGTCATATTAATTGATGATTGTACATGATTTACCTGGCTTTATCATTTGAAGAGAATTTGATTTTTTACCTACATTTTTAGTCTTTCAAAAATTGATAGAAAATTAGTATCAGTTTTCAAGAAAATTAATAACATTTCTGTGTGAGGGAGGAGAAGAATTTAATATTTGAGAATTCATCAATTATATGGCTCAAAATAGTAACAAACGACAAATTTTTTATCCACATACCCCGATAAAATGAAGTAGCAGAAAGAAAACATAGAAATATTATTGAAAGGAGTCTCACCTTGCTCTTTAATGCAAACTTGCCATTATTTCTTTGAGTTGGAGCATTTATGACTGTTGCCTTCTTATTTATAAAATCCCTACATCTATCTTGAATATGCTCTCCCCATTTTTAAAGTTACATGGACAGAACCCCCATTCAACCTTAAAAGTTTTTGAATGTCGTTGTTTTCGTTATTTCAAAGGCCAAACCAAAAATAAGTTCCAATTTCCTTGTGTTTTCATCGACTATAGCGTTCTTCAAAAAGAATTTAGATGTTATCATCCTCTGTCAAGAAAGGTGTTTATCTGACTATATGTTATTTTTGATAAATTCCAATTGGCTATCTTCTAGGGTTGATATTCCTTCATAATTAAATAGTACACTACTTACTGCATTCCAAGAATTTATTCAACAAAGAGATTCACATGAAGATGCTACATTACCTCCCAAGGATGATACCATAGCAGCAGCAAATGATGATACACTATACCATTCATTGACGATCTTGCACCCATTGAGAGGTCTATTGCTATAGACATATTTTCACCCATAAAGCAACCTCTTGCTACAAAACCTGTTGGAACGACTGAGTCCACAACTCTCCAGCCCGTCGACCCTTCTTCTTCTCCATCCTAGTTTGTCGATGCTGCCATAAAACAGATGAACACAAGCAGGTTCTACTAAACCTAACTTAGTTGAAACTAAAACAATTAAAATTGCCTTGTCTATGCCATATTGGATATCTGCGATGCACGACGAAACGCAAGCTCTGTATTCGAATGATATACTTGAACATTGGTTCCTTGACAGCCTACCACAAATGTCGTTGGTTCTCACTGGATGTTTAAAACAAAATTCCATGTTGATGGCTCTGTGGAATGATTTAAATCTCACTTGGTTGCTAAAGAATATAATCAAATCTAGGGTGTTGAATTTTAAGGATACATTTAGTCTAGTCGTGCAAGAATATCACTATTCAGATAGTTTTATATATTATCGTCACCTTAAATTAGGAAATCAAGCAATTAGATGTCAACAATTCTTTCTTACATGGCAATCGATCTCAAGGTGAAAGTTTTCATAGAACAACCACCTAGATTTCGGGATCCTCTCTTTTCTAAATCATGTTTGCTTACTCAAAAAGACACTCTATGGCTTCAAACAAGCTCCAAAAGCATAATTCCTGAAGTTAAGCTCATATTTTCTTCATATTTCGTCCCTATTTCGCCTCATACTATACGTTGATGATATTATCCTAACAGTAAGCCATACTTCCATTTCACTACAATCTCATTTCTCCATGAAAGACTTTGGACCCATTCATTATTTTCTTTACATAGAGGTTCATCGGCACATAGATGTCACGTTTCTTAGCCAACACAAGTCTGCTACAACTATCTTTCAATGAATCTGATATGTTATTTACCCAAGCTCATCCAACAGTACCACTTTCCTAGAAGCACCACCTCCATGATGACTCTACTGCCGCCTGGTTGATCCCTATGACTATCGCAGCCTGGTTGGCACATTTCAATATTTGACACTAACTCGTCCAAAGATTGCTTATACTGTGAACCTTCTATGCCATTTCATGTAAGATTATAGGTTCAGAATATAATTGAATTTATTGACCATTTGAGTTATTTGATTCTGAATTTAATATTTGATAGAAAATTTTATCCATGTACTTATAGTGTTTTTAACCTATGCAATTAAGCTTTGATACCACTTATAAGTAAATTCAAAATAATGAAATTATCATTCAAATATTAAGAACACCATAAAATCAATATAAGGTTAAAGTGCGTACACATAATGTAATTAAGTCATGTAGTCCACCAATGCGGATAGAAGGCGGTTCCAACCAAGGTTGGTCAAGTTAAGTTTTCCTTTCATTGCTCATCCTACATATAATAGTTGAATGGGGCATTTGCCTCTCGTTGGGAAGAGAAGAGGAGATCTAGTCATATACTTATAGACATTAAATCTTGACCAACAAGCCTCATCGCATTATGAAATCTTCAATAGGGTCAACACTATTGTCAGCACACACTAACACATGAAATGATTTAGGCTCAACAAAAAATTTAATAAATAAGCGGCTCGAATCATGTTCATCGATTATATTTACTCAACTCATTTTATAAATCACAATAATTAGGTTAATGTTAATCCAAAATTAGTAAAAATTCCAACATAATTCCCTTTTATCGTAGATACTCAAATAATTAAGTCCACTTAGAGATACACTTAAATAGATATGACATGACATGACTACATGCATTAGCTTCATAATAATGTAGAAACTGTTCCCTACTTTATACTTTAGCCAACCATAATTGACTCGGCATTAAAACGTTTATGTTGTTGTTGAGACCGTACAATCTCATTTTTCATGTACAAATAAAACAATTAACACGATTTTTCAGCTTCTGATTTATTTTGGTCATTACTAGTCATAAAAATTCTCAAGAAATCTAACAAGAAAGGTCTTGAGATAATTTGTTGTCTTATAATTTACACAAATTTTTGCTTATTAGGTAAGTATAATCAAATCTATTTATAACAATATAGTTTGTTTGGATATTTCTGGATTGTAATAGCGAAATCTTGTTATAGATAGAAAACATACAATGCAATATAAATGTAAAATTAATTTCAAAAAAAGACATGATCGATATAATGAAATGTTATTATAAAAGATGATTGTCATAGAGATGTTTGCATGTATTAACTTACTTCTTCACATGGCATTGGAGCAATAAATCATTTGCGCTCTATTAATGTCTAGGAGATTATAGTTTGTTTGGTCAAACTTTAAAATCAACTTATTTTGAAAAGTATGTTTTTAAAAAATATTTTTGAGGAAAAACAATTTGTGTTTGATCAATAAATCTTAATAACACTTTTGAGTAGCAATTAATATTTGGCCAAACTTTTAAAAATGTTTTAAATGTATTATTTTCTCAAAAATGCTTTTAAAAAGAACTACTTTTTTTAATTTTTGAAAAGCAACTTCTTTAATCTCTATAAACGCTTATTTCTATCAAAAACTTAGTCAAACACCTCATTTTTAATTTTTTTTAAAAAATAAGTATTATTAACCTCAAAAAACTTAGACCAAACAGCTAAGTGCTCACCAATCAATTTGAAGGGCTATACATTCAATGTCTTCAATTGCAATTATTGTTTACACACTGAGATATTGCGGATCGTGTTTCATGTACGCTATGAATCTCTATCTTTAATGTCCTTGCAAATTCAAATTTTGGGCCATATATGATTCATTTCACTCACCTACTCCTTATCTGTAAATTTAGACTTATTCGTATTTAATACTTTTTTCGTTTAAAAACAAGTGGTGCTTTCAACTTGAACACATCCATTAAGCAAATTATTCATTCTTAAAAAAATATATAATTTTACCCATTTTCCATTAATAAATATATTGAAAAAGATAT